TCTCTGTCTCTCTCTCTCTCTCTCTCTCTCTCTGTCTCTCTCTCTGTCTCTCTCTCTGTCTCTCTCTCTGTCTCTCTCTTCTCTCTCTCTCTCTGTCTCTCTCTTTGTCTCTCTCTCTTGTCTCTCTCTGTCTCTCTCTTTGTCTCTCTCTGTCTCTCTCTCTCTGTCTCTCTCTTTCTCTCTGTCTCTCTCTTTGTCTCTGTCTTTCTGTGTCTCTCTACATCGCTGTCTCTCTCTCTCTCTCTCCATCTCTCTCTGCCTCCTCTCTCTCTGTTTTTTCTCTGTATCACTCTCTCCTCTCTCTCTCTTTGTCTCCCTCTCTTTCCTTGTTTCCTGTCTCTCTCTCTCTCTCTCTGTCTCCATTTCTCTCTCCCTCTTTGTCACTCTCTCTTTTATCTCCCTTCCTGTTTCTCTCCCTCCTCTCTCTCTCTGTTTCTCTCTCTTCTCTCTCCCTCTGTGTCTTTCTTTCTCTCCCTCCTCTCTCACTGTCTCTCTCTCTCTTCCTCCATCTGTCTCTCCCTTTCTTTGTCACTCTCTCTTCTATCTCCCTTCCTCTCTCCGTTTCTCTTCTCTCTCTCTCCCCCTCTTGTCTGTCTGTTTCTCTCTCTCCTTCCTCTGTTTCTCTTTCTCTCCCTCCTCTCTATCTATTTCCCTCTCTCTTTCCTTCCTCTCTCTCACTCTCTCCTTCCTCTCCATCGGTTTCTTTCTGTCTCTCTCCCTCTCCTCCTCTCCCTCTCTCTTCACCCCCCTTCTCTCTTTCCCTCTCCTCTTCTCTCTCTCCTCTCTCTCTCTCTATCTGTTTCTCTCCCTCCTCTCTCTCCCTCTCTATCTGTTTCTCTCTCTCTCTCCTCTCTATCTGTTTCTCTCCCTCTCTATCTGTTTCTCTCTCTCTCTCTCTCTATCTGTTTCTCTCCCTCCTCTCTATCTGTCTCTTTCTCTCCCTCCTCTCTATCTGTTTCTCTCCCTCTCTATCTGTTTCTCTCTCCCCTCCTCTCTATCTCTTTCTCTCCCTCCTCTCTATCTCTCTCTCTCCTCTCTCTGTTTCTCTCTCTCCCTCCTCTCTATCTGTTTCTCTCCCTCTCTCTATCTGTTTCTCTCCCTCTCTATCTGTTTCTCTCTCTCCCTCTCTATCTGTTTCTCTCCCTCCTCTCTCTCTCTCTCTCTATCTGTTTCTCTCTCCCTCTCTCTCTCTCTCCTCTCTCATCTCTCTCTCTCTCTCTCTCTCTCTCTCTATCTCTCTCTCTGTTTCTCTCCCTCTCTCTCTCTCTCTCGCTCTCCTTCCTCTCTGTTTCCTCTCTTTTCACCCTCCTTCTCTTCTCTCTCTCTCACTATCTATCCCCCCTCGCTCTCTTCCTCTCCCCCTCTTCTTCTCTCCTTCCATCTCTCTCTCTCTTCTCTCCGTCTCCTTCTCTCCATCTCCGTCTCCTTATCTTTTCCATTTAAGCGGCGCAGGAAGTCGTTCACGTGTCTTTGTTTAGCGTTTGTCCTGCAGCGCCTCGTAAAACGCCGCTTGTAAAAAAACATGACCAGTGTTTCCAGAGCAATAATCTTTTCATATTTTATTTGTTGTGTATTTCTGATTCATAACGACTCGCTTTACTGTAGAACCGCCGTGATTAATGAAGCTTTAATCCCGCAGAGGCTGATTTGTGTAACTGGGCAGCTCCGTGTGTGTGTGTGTGTGTGTGTGTGTGTTTGGCCGCACAGCTGTGTCAAAGTTACACTGCCAGATTGGCTCGCGACTTTTTATAGATTTTGTGTGTTTGTTAAAGCGGGGGGGGGGGGGGGGGTATTATGCAAAAGCGCTTTTTTTTTAGATTTCAAATGTTGTAACGTCGTTCCCTTCGTCACCTCGCGCGACAGTTCTCCATAAACGCACAAAACCGAACGCGACAACTTCACAAACCTGACGCGACGTGCAGATTTAATAGCGATCGTGACGGTGCTCTGAAGGGGGAGCGACTTAGCAAGGTGAGCAAGGAGATAGGAGATTCAGAGTTTCCAAAATTAAACTTATAAATCATGTTAAAACTAAACAATAAAAGGTAAATATGCGACGTGTTAATAGTTAATATCCCAAAGAAGTAAAAAACAAAATTTAAATACGCTGTCTTTAAGTTTGAACAACGATGAATCTGTGTATTTATTTATTTATTGTTTATTTTTTTAGTGCTTCACGTTTACTAATAACCTCTATCGATATCTGTAGGAACCTTTGCTCAATTTACAACACAAACTTTTACTGTAGATTTATAAATAGAAACATAATCACAGGACGTAATAAAATAATTAGTACTTTCACACTATTGCCCCTGCTGCTGTAAACGGACTCAAGTGTAATCAGGTCAACACTGTTACGTAATAAGAGTCATCTCATGTGTAAAACACTCGAGTCACTCAGTGTACAAAATACAGTTGCCCTTTATTTTATTGTTTCTTTTTATTTTATTTTATTTTTTATTTAATGTACATTTATCATATTATTTTCATAGGATTTATTTTTATAGAATTATTTTTTTATTCTATTTTTTATTAAATATTTATAGAATTTATTTATTATTTATTTTTGTTTTGTTTAATATATTTTTATAGAATTTATTTTTAAATAATTTATTTTTTTATTTATTTTATTTTATGTTTTATTTTATCATTTTATTTTTTTATAGCATTTATTTCTATTGAATTTATTTTTATAGATTTTTTTCATAGGATTTATTTTTATAGAATTTATTTTTTATTTATTTTAGCTTTATTTAATATATTTATATTTAATTTATTTTTATATATAATTTATTTGTAAAGAATTTATTTTTGTTTTTATTTTATCATTTTATTTTTTACAGAATATATTTTTTAATACATTTATTTGTATTCAATTTATTTTATAGATTTTTTAAACATCATTTATTTTTATTAAATTCATTTGTTGTTTTATTTTATCATTTTATTTTCAGTAGAATTTATTTTGTATTCATTTTACTTTTAATTTTATAACATACTTGCACAGTGTTGTGTTTAAGTCTTATTTTCTAATATTTATTTATCTTGATTTTTGAGTGCCAATTTCTTTTCTCTTACTTCTCTAACTCTCCGTCATAACAGTGGATTTTCCCCATCGTGGGACAAATAAAGCTTCTCTTACACAGATCTGTCTTTTCTTACACAAGTTCTATCTTACACAAATGCTCAATTATTTTCAAAAAAACATTAAATTTAGACGTTAAAACTGCACAGTCACTTTAAACTCCTGCTAAAAAACAACAACAACAACACATCTTTTCTCTTTGGCATTTGTCCAGAGTTTTATAGAGAAACCTTTGCCACCTTTACTGATATTATTATTACTATTTTTATCATCGTACACGACTAAAACGTCAGCAAGCAACGTCTGACTTCTTTCAGCTACGGTAAATGTGAGCAAACTTCGCCTCTGAAACAATGGCTCGGTGGATTCCCGTTCCTTAAATTCCTGTATTGTGAGCCAGTCTCCCGCTGCCTTTCCCAAGCCCGACTCCTGCTATTATTTTGCACTTCTCAAAGCAAACACCCAACATCTCCTGGGCAAAGGGAGCTGTAGCGAGAAAATCACCTCTCTCTGTCCCGACGGAAGACAAAACGAAGCATTAAAACGAGACAACCCGCTTTTTTATTTTTGTTTTTTTGCAAACAAATCCGAAAACGCTGTAAATAATCCACGTAATTCCAAACACACGTGCGTTTTTTGCTTCTTTAAAGTGCACTGCGTAACATTTCCCGCCTGCTTTCCTGCTTTCCTGTGCTGCTGCTTCGTCTAGAATGTTCCACGGTGTGAATTAAACCTTTCCACGCCGCATTACAGGTCAGATCTGTGGAGAGGCGCCCATAAACGCATCAGGAATTCTTGTATTTTTGAGCAACGGAAACACACGATTTTAATAATGTTGCACGGATATAGTTTAATGTCACGCTACGAAACATTCGAGACAAAGCAATTAGCATCTCCATGGAGACACACAGGTTAGTGTAAAGCCTAGAAAAGTTACGTAGTGGAGCTTTAAGCAGGTCTATCACGATCATTTCTGTCGATCTTTCAATATTTACACATTTTCTTTGGGAATACTGCGATAAAACGACAAGATTTGAGCTCTGGAAGGTTGAAAAACGAACTTCTACACCATCATCAGCTCGTAATTTTTCTATTTTTTGATTTATGGCTCCTGCATTTACTATTTCGTTGTCATAAATTTAAAAAGAACAATAAAAAACCTGACAATTAACATGTTCCAGCCACCTGCAAAGCGACAAAAGGAACAGGAACCAGTTAGATCGTAATAAAACCCTGCTCCTTTCACAGTTTCGTCGTTTATTTGTAGTAGCTCGGGCCTTTTAATGACACCGCCTTTTGAAAAACGGTTTACCGGGATAATCCTGCGTCATTGTTGTCGTGTCAGCGGCGTAAAGTCGATTTAATATCATTGTTTATCGTTGTATTTCTCCGATTTCTCTGCGATAAATCATTCTTTGACATTTGTTACCGTGAGAGGCCTGAAAGAAACGCTTTTCTACTTAGAGGTGTTACTGCTTTGTCCGGAATGTTTCGCAGTGTGGCATTAAACCTTTCGAGCTTCGAGGAAACCAAACTAGACGAAGATATGGGTCAGATCTGCGGAGAGGCGACGCCGCTCTTAGCCAGAAAGTAGTTTTTTGAGGTATTTTTGAGCTTTAAAACCACTTGTAATTGAATAAATGTAAAGTATAGCTGTTTAAAGTCATATTGTGGAACATTTGAAGCAGAGAAATGACAAATCTATAGAAACAAAAAGTCAATTAACCCACAACTGAAATGTTACGCAGTGCACCTTTAAAGTTATATTGTGAATTCTTAAAAAGACAAACCAAAACAAACCAAAATTATTGCTCCTGTGCAAATCTCGAAAGGCCACAAGTTACGACTTTTTTTTTGCCATGACGTGAATCAAAATCCGCTTTCAACCAAACACTGCTCATCGTAAAAATCTTACCTTGACATGGGGTCCGGGTATCCATCTCCTCTGACCGCCAGCGCCCCCTGGGATATGCCCGGGCGAGTTTTCCAAGACTCCATTAACGCAGAAACCGGAGAAATCAGATTCAACAGCGGGTTTGACTGGTCCCTCACGTCGTGGCGCGTGAAAGACATTGTTCCTTGTGCTCCAATCTGGTAATGGAATGAGTGTCCGCCGGAATTAACTCCCACAATGGCGGACGAGGGCATGCCGGTGCTCTCCGGGTAATAGCTGCCGTCATTGGCCTCCTGCTTAACCCCTTTGGACAGGACGCTGCTGGAGAACACGTCAGACTCGTAGTTGCCGTTCATGGACGACACAGGGGGGCCTAAGATCCCAGAGAGACTGTACTCGTCGATGTTATTCCTCAGAGACAGATAGGTGGTCTCGGCCGCGGGGAACAGACCCATGGACTGGGACTGCTCACTGTAGGGCGGCTGGTTCATACAGTCCTCGTCTTTGTTGGGTTCGGTCTTAATCTGGGTGATGAACGGGGCACTGTTTGAATTACACTTGGAGCCTCCCAGACACATGCTCCTGAAGTCAGTGCCAGGCTCGTTCTTGATGTACTTCACCATGCCCATCTGGTCTAAGCCCACGTTAAAAACCTCCCCACCAACCATCTCCACTTTGGGGAACTCAAAGTTCTTGAAGTCCACGTCCTGAGAGAGAGAGGCTGTATCCGGGCTGTGGTCGTTCTGCACCAGCCCCAGAGCGCTCACTGGACTGGGCTCAAAGCCCGCGGAGGGCGGCTGGTGGGGGCTGCTCCCGGGCAGGCCCGCTGAGGGTGGACTGGACATGGACTGCTGTAGGGTGCTGCAGTTGGCCGTGCTGGTGGGACTGGACACAGAGGACCTCATGTTGCAGGAGACGCTGCAGGCGCTGCTCATGCTCTGAGGGCTGGAGATGGGGGACCTCATGACGTTCATGGGGCTGGTGAGAGGGGGGGACCCCACGGTGCTGGACTCCACTGGGCTACATGTGGCTGAGTTCCTGCGCTTGATGTGGGCCACGCTCTGGGCGCAGGACGTCTGACTGGCCGGACTGCTGACCGCCGAACACGGGGGTCCGAAGCACACAGGGGGGCTGGTGGTGGAGGACACCATGTTGTTGCTGCCCCCGGGGCTGGACATGGAGCTGGAGGTCTGAGGGCTGCAGCACACAGAGGAGCCCAGCAGAGGGCCAGAGCTGACCGGTGTCCCTGAGCCCGCCGTGTGGGCGGAGCAGGGCGGCTGGAACCCAAACGCCGCTAACTTGGGGTTTTTAGTGGCTCCACTCTGCTTCTCGTCCAGAGAACGCCCACACACCGGGAACAGCTTCCCAGGGCTGGTACTGCCCCCGTGCTGGCTAAAAGCAAAGTCTGCCTCCCTGGCAGCGTTCATGTAGAGGCCCATAGACTCAGCAACAGTTTTGGAAAGCTCCTTGGAGTCCATTTCCTGCTTATGACCATGAAGAGAGTTGTTGAAGTGTGGGTGAACAAATGGCTGGTTCTGGCTGAGGCGGCGCACCGGCTCCTGCTTCTTTGCGTTGTCTTTGCAGTCGGGAGCTGGACTTCCGGAGGGACAGCTCACGTTCACGATGTCCATCAGGATGTCTCCGGCGGTCAGACCTGAGTCCTCTGAGCTGCAGCAGAAATCTGTGGAGCTCGGGACCTGGGGCCATTTGTTCTCTGTGTCATTCCCATCGAAGTAACTTTGGTATCGTTTGGTCTCCATCACTGGTTCACTGAGAGCCCTGAAGGAACAAGAAAATAAAAACTATTAGAACTGTTTTTAAAGCAATCTAATTACATACTTTATTATACATCGCTGTTGTTTTCATTTGTGTGTGTTTTTAAATAACACGTATAGACAATGACAGATTTTAATTAGCCTGATTAACGTGAACATGAGTGTGTGTGAATACAGTTTTTTAAATCACATCTGCACTATTCGACTGTTTGACTGTCGACTCAACACAGAGAAGCTCTTTTATTCTCACTGTTTGAGTCTGTCTTTCTTTTCTGTACAGTTTCCTCTCCTTTTCTAACCTGACCAGGAGGACACGCACACACACAGGTTGGAGAGGGAGGTGGGAACGGGTTAATTCATGTCAATGACGCTCTTTGAGCTGCGCGCACCGAGCCCCGCCTCCTCTGCGCGCCCATTGGCCAGAGGAGACCGAGTTCCACCAACCTGCTGTGCCCTGTCACGGATTGGCCCGGCAGCTGTCATTCAATAGTTACAGCTCTTGCAGCCATAACATAGCTGCGACACAAGTTCAGATTTTGTTTTAAAGGCTGAAGCAGCGATGTCATGAGGAAAACATTTGAATAAACAAGTGGGTCATCTTTGAATTTAAGGCTGTAACGCGACTGTAAGAGTCCGGGGCTTGTTTCAGCAACTGCCCCTGCATTTCCCGGACAACTGTGTGCAAAAAAAAAAAAAAATAAACCCAGTATTTGCTTTAATGGGGCGTGTTTGCCTATAATATTCTCACACGAGCACGCACGGGGTTCGAGCAAATGTGCAAAACGTGACAACTATTGCGCACGAACCGACCCTCAGCCCGTGTTCTCTCTCTCCTCTCTTCCTCCCGCACTGTGCCCGTCCGGCTTCTGTAGGACACACAGCCTCGAAATCTGCACTTCTTTCTCTCCATTTTTGGACGCGAACTGGTGCCGTGACTTTTTTTTTTTTTTTTTTTTTTCTTTCTTTACGTACTCCGGTGTGTGAAATGAACGGGGCTGGGAGAAGAATGCACCGTGCGCTTTTGTGACGATAACGCGGGGTGTAGGCGACGTCTGCATCGTTCGTTGCCGTGTCATTTTTATTTATTTTTTTTTGCGCGTAAAATAACTCCCCCCCCCTCCTCCTCCCCAACACCACCACCACCACCACTCCAAGTTAAGCCCAACTTTGATTTGCACGCGTCAACTTATTAGGGGAGCATGCACGAGACTAACGGTCCCGCGTGAAAGTTATCCCGAACGTGACGCGTAACGAAGAAGCGAAGGAGAAGGAGAAGGAGAAAGAACCCGGGTGCACACGCGATGCAAAAACAGTTCACGCGAAAAATCTAGAGCACGTTGAGCTAAATGTTGAGCCCTGTCCTCAGCTTACCTTCCTTAATTACGACATCCAGGGTTGTCAGGTGGCTGTGTTGCTGGGCAGCGATAATCCAGAAGGACAAAAAAGAGCCGAGGCGAAACGGCAAAGTGGGTAAATTCGCAACGAAACGTCCCCCCTTCGGTCTACTCTCCTCAAGCTCCGCGAGGCATAGTTCTCAGTTTGACAGCTCGACACACACCGGATAGAAGTGGAGCCTACTGCGTATTCTCACTGTAGTCCCCCCCTTCTCTCTGCCTCTTCTTTTTTTGACAGGACGAACCACAGCGACGGCTCTGGCGACGAGCGGCGGGGCGGGCGAGCTCACATTATGTCCGGACGGCGTGTGTCTCTCTCCGCGAGCTCCGGTGGCTGCGAGGGGGGTGGAGGGTGGAGGGTGGACGGTGGTGGAGGGGGGGTCCTGGAGGTTCCCCCCCCAAAAAAAATCGGGATAAGAGTCTAAAACAAACTAAAAGGAGTGCGGGGAAACGTCATCCGCGCACCTCCTACTGCAACGAGTGCACAACACAAACTCCGAGCCTGGGTGAGGAGGAGGAGGAGGAGGAGGAGAGGGAGGAAGGGAGGGAGGGAGGAGGGGCTCTTGGGCGCAGGTAGACTCTGGAAATAGGGCAGCCGACTCAGCGCTCGGTGGTTCAAAGCCGGTCATTCGGAGACGGCGACGCTTTCCCCTCCGGAACTTTTTATTTTAACACTTTTTTTACGCACGCGAGCTCTCCCATCCTCCTGACGTTTTTTCGTTTCGTTTACAAGTGTTTACGCGTGAAACAAGTCTCATTTTTTTATTTTTTGCCCCGTACGCGTCCCCGTTTTCGAGCTCGTAAAGATTAGAATAAAATTAGGTCACGTATTATCTGGACTTTCGAGCGGCGTTCCAACTTACTGACGCGTACTGAACAATTCCGTGATGGTTTGAAGCACTTTTCTCCATTGCAAACCAGATTTTGAACAGATTTTTGGAAATAAAAAACTGGCACGTCCCCGTTGTTTTGGTATTGTTCAGAATAAATCTCTGAAACGTGTGCGTAATGAAGGAAAACTGACCAACGTGTGAGTCAGTGTGGTCACATTTTCTTTGCGTTTTGGTCATTTTAAGCAGCTTTATTTGGATTTTACCTAAACAAATAACAATGTATGTCTCTTTTTGCTGTTGGCAGGGGTCAGATTTGTCCAAAATAGGGACATCTGGAACATTTTTTTGTAAAAAACTGAGACAAATCACTGGGACTGAGGACACAGGACTCAAAACTGGGACTGTCCTGCGTAAATAGTGACGTCTGGTCACTCTATAGCACCAAAAATTCAGGATAAAGTGATGTATTTAACTTATTTCTTGTGCAATTTTTCCATCTCCATCGTTATTTATGTTTCTGTCTGTTGAGGTGCACGTGCAGGACGCGAGGAACCTCTTCCAGAAAAGATACGCAGTGCAAAAAAAAAATAAAAATAAATACTTAAAAATAAAAAATAAATAAATACAAAAATAAATTAATTAATTAAATACAAATAAATTAAAAAATAATACATAAAAAAATAAATATAAATAAATACAATAAAAAAAAATATAAATATATATTAAATAAAATACATAAATAAAGGCAAATCTCTTGGGACAGGTTGCTATGCATAAGTGGAGCAGTTGGAGTCGCACAGCAGCACCCATCACTGAGCACCCAGCACCCATCACTGAGCACCCATCTCCTCTCGAGCTCCCTTTAATCCCTCTGATGTGCCGCTCAGCCAATCACGCTCAGGCTCGCGCTCAGGACAGGAACAGGACAGAAGAGTGGGAAAAGTGTTGTGTTTATTTCTTTTTTTTAGTGGCTGAGCCGTGCGCAGAACGTCACACAGGAAGAGACAGAGGCACGAGCGCCGCGCCGGTGTCTCCCCAGGGTGCACCGAGTCCGCGCGCAGCTCCGTGAGGCCATAGCGGGCGCGGCCACTAGGGGGAGCACTGTTTCTGCTGCTGCCGCACACAAGGTCAGGCGATGAAAAGGTCTGGGGGGAGGTTTGTCCTTTCGGAGTTTTATGTGAGTGTTAAGTGCTATTTTTTTTTTTCTGATTTCTTATTTAACTGGGATGAATAGGCCATGTTTTTGTTTTTTTTTCCTCAGCTCAAAGGGACGAGCTCAAAGTGGCTAAAATAACAGATATTTTGCAAACGTGTCTGAAATGTGGACACGTTTTTATCGCAGTAGACACTTTATTTTCTTGTCATTATGTATTTTAAATAATGACATTTTACTGAACTCCATAAGTCTGCCACATCTCAACTAATTAAGGTAAACAAAATAAGATTAATCAATAGCGGATGTAACAATAACCGAAATATCGTGATATCGTATCGTCAAAGTTCGTGGACCGTCGCTGTATATCGAATTACAAGTCGCTTTGCTTAAATTAAGAGTTTTGGAGCAGCAATAGCTTAAAAAAACAGAAGGAACTACATAGACCATGATCCTTTGCTCCATTTCAGTGCAGACTACATGAAGAAATAACAGTTCTAACACTTTTAAGTCTTAGTTTTTTGGATCAACTCTTGTCAAGGCATTTGAAGAGGAAAAAGAAGCATATGGACCCAGTCAAGCAGAAGTAAACAACAAGACCAAAAATTCAAGTTAATGCATCTGATATAAAAATGTATTGAACAGATACATATGTACTCTAGTTTATGAAACTGTTGACCTTTTTTTCTGTACCATTTTTGGTTCTAAAGTTCCATATGTTTTAAACAGACCATGTATGAAACATGGAACAAAAATTATTTCCCAAATTTCAAAGACCCAAAAATCATGTAAATAAATGGATGTATTTCATCATATCTTGTGTTATTCCATCTTTGAACTGTTGATGAAGGTACATGATTTAAAAAAAAAAAAATGTATTTAAAATGATAAAAATTTGCTTGGAAGGACTGACATATTTTATAGAAATAGTTTCCTTTCATTTTGAAGTAATATTAAAGTATTTGGAAGAAAAAAGCGACAAATTATGTAAAATCCTGCACCTTCTACTTGTTTGTACAATTTTCCCTCCGTTACTTTTCCCTCCGTTACCATGAACTTTCTTAATAAAAAATCTCATGAGTCAAAAAGTAAGAGGTTTTTCAACCTAATCTTGTACCATATGGTAGAAAACTATATGAAGCAAATATTCAAACCAGTTTGTTAAGGATATGTAAGTGAGAACCAAGAGTTATCACTGTTTGGATTTATTGCCCAAAAAGTGCTGCATATTTCATTCCCTCCGTTACCGACATGAGTTTTTAAATTTTTTGTCAACAACTTGAAAGAATATCACAGGTTTAACTTGACCCTGTTGGAGTGTAACTCTTTCCTACATTCTGATACTTTACTTATTTCAATAGTTCCTCTAGTTTCTGAATAAGAGACATTTGAATGTCAAAAAATCTGCCCCTGTTTCCCTCCGTTACCACTTGACCAGACCCATATTCACAATTTTTTTTAAACAGAAATTTGTTTGCAAACTCCATAAATGCAAAAGTGAATCAGATGTGTGTGACTCAAACCTCTGTTCAAACTGTTTCTCTTCCCAACGGAATTGAAAAATAGTGAAAGGTGAAGGCGATGGGCAGGATTGATCCACAGGAAGGATGAAAAAGGAAACATTTGACTGCCTAAATCATCCCGAGTTTACAGTGAACATTTTGTATGTGGAGCGACAACAAAGTAAAATCTCATTTGTTAATGGAGAGGAGCAGAAGACAAACAGACTGAGCTGCACTTTCTTGTTCTTGTGGTTTTACAGCAACATCACGTCTCGGTCTCTTTGCAGTGGAAGGTGTTTCTTGGTGAACAGTTGGAGCCTTTCACTTTGGCGTTGACTTTTTAAAAACATAGAAAACATCTGCTATCACAAGTATCATAGTCCTGTTTTACAAAACACCTAAAAACATAAAAGACATTATGATTTTTATATATGTTATACATATATATATTATATATATAATTGCATTTGAAAATGACATGAATATTCTGGAACTGTTGGAATTTATAATATATCCATGTTAATCCACTGCAGCCCTTATGCTTATTATGCTTATTCTCCCTTAGAGACAGGGTGAGGAGCTCAGTCACACGGGAGGAGCTCGGAGTAGAGCCGCTGCTCCTCCACGTCAAGAGGAGCAGCTGAGGCTCGGGCATCTGTTCCAGCTGCCTCCTGGACGTCTCCCTCGGGAGGTGTTCCGGGCATGTCCCACCGGGAGGAGGCCCCGGGGAAGACCCAGGACACGCTGGAGGGACTATGTCTCTGACCTGGGAACACCTCGGGATCGACCTGGAGGAGCTTGAGGACGTTTCTGGGGTGAAGGAAGTCTGGGAGTCCCTGCTTAGACTCCTGCCCCCGGATAAACGGAAGAAAATGGATGAGTCAGAGTGCGTCAGGTTTGTACCTTGCCCACTTTTACATTTTAAAGTAAGGGCAACTTAGGCGTGTTCTATCAAAAATCACAACTGGAATTGATCGATTAAAAGTAAAAAGAATTTATTTCCTGTCCAATACAATTCTAATACAGAGCTCTGGGTCAGACCACTATCCCTAATGGCCTATTCTACACAGGACTTAGTTTCAGACAGTCTGAACACCTGCATCTGTCCCTTAACCCAGTATATATACACATTCACAGAAATATGCATAATGATATGTTGATCAGGTTCACGCTTTGGATCCTCCCTGAAGCTTCTCCGTTTATGGGAATGACCGAATCTATTTAGGTTTGGTGGCAGCCAGGACGTCCCCTTGTCAGCTGCTCTGTACAGAATTTCCTTAAAAAGACACAACCTACACAGCTGTTTCTTTAAACACATGTATCAGATTTCAGTAGTTAAGCATTAATTGCGTGACTTCATTAACAACATTTAAACAAATATATGATTTCAGCATTCAATAATTGCATGTGGTAAACTCACGACACTTTATTATTTGTTACAGCCTTCAGTACCTTGCCCACTTTTACATTTTAAAGTAAGGGCAGCTTTCTGTTTAAAGACCACAAGTTTAACCCTCGTAGAGCAACTCTGCTGCTATTTTTTAACTCTTTTATGACCCAGTGAAGCGCTCAACCTCTTTTTCTTCATCTGACATATTCACAGTTTTGTTCATCTCCACAAAATATCACAATAAATATCGTACCATGAGATGTATATAGTGAAAACATCATACAGAGAGTTGTTACACCCCTAATAAACAGTCATTTTATATTATTATTAAAGCTTGAACGTGTTTTCTAATCTAATCTAATCTGATTTATTTGTATTTTAATAGTGGAGGTTCATGTGACGACAAATACTACATCGACGTAACAGATGGATCTATAATTCTGGTTGTGAATATTAACGCTGGGTACTTTTTCTTTGTTAGTTATAGTTTCTGCAGTGTTTTGTTATATTTCTGTATTTCGATGAGATTTGAGCCGTGGAGTTTTGAATAAACAGCTTCTATGAGTCATTACAGACAAAACTTAAGTGTTTCAATCTGCCGTT